TCAATAGCCTGGCGTGTAAAACTCCATCTTGACCTTCTATCGATGGCAAAGGCCAGAATTTTGGATCCTTTCTCGCATCTGCGTGATTCGGGATACTGCTAGCATCAACCTCCCGACTGCATGTTCAATGACGCCCAATGGTCTCTTATCCTGCTTAGGTGGCAGGTGATTAAATGCCTGGCCTTTCAAGTACTTCACTCATCCGTCTGACAAACATGAGCAAAAAAGCATGTGTATAGAAAATTTTTCCCCGTCCTTGTGGTAATCTACTGTTACATTGAGTGACTTTCTATCCATGCGAATTTGGCACCAGTTTTTTGACCTAGAAGTGCTGGAGGGTTTGATTAAATAAGGAAATTGAATCAATAACTTAACCAACAGAACACCCCATGAGCCACTGCGATATAATGCCAAGCATATTACATATCAAAATGATAAGTCTTTCTAGTTTGACATGTTTTTATTTTTTTCTAGAAATCTCGTGCGTAGGTTACACTTTAGATTCTAAGAGAATTGAGTGGTGGGCAAAAAGATATTGAAGGGTGAGTGGCTGGGCGAATGTGCCTCGGTGGTGTAGTAGTAGAGCACGCGTCCCCGGATAGGATGAAACGCGGGCTCGATTCCTCCTGAGGCCGTCTTTTTGCTCACTACTCTGTTCGCTCAGTAATATGTGAAACATCATGGCAGTGCGAAGAAAGCATTGAATACAATGGAAATTTGGATTAGTACTTTAGTTTTTGTTATGCTTTTCAGTAAAAGTCAACAAGAATCAAGTTAAAATCGATTACTTTTGTTTATGTTAATTGAATACATAAGGTGATTATAAAATTATGATTGAACAGGAAATTTTTGCATTCTATACTTTTTATCATTCTTATTGCCATCATTGTATATTTTTTAATGCCCTCTGAACAATTCTCAAGCAGGAAAAGTCATGTTAATAGATGAGTTGTACGTTATTCACAGCATTCATCCAATATCAAGATAAAAAATTGAAGAAGACTTGGAAAGCAAACATTTTTTCAGCTGGTCCTCGGCCTGCAAGCTGGTTCCCATCAATTTGTTCAAATGGCTAGCACAATACGAATATTGGACGTAGATGATCATCCACTGACTTCTTTGCTAGAATCTGTAACAGTAGAGGTATTTTTAGAGAGTGTTCTGTTCTTTCATTTTGTTCTATTTTTTTGAAAAATGTTCTAAGGTATTTCTCATTCTGTTGGATATGCCACTTAACAGTATTTATGTTTCAGGTCCCCGAAGACATTGCCATAGGTACGGTAATCACAACGATGCGCGCTGTAGACGTTGACGAATCACAGGAAGTGTTCTATCGTTTGAAGCACCCCTCAAAAGAGTTTTCTATCAATTCATCTAGCGGTGAAGTTGTAGTCGCATATGGGCTCGATAGAGAGACCGTCGATTCATACAGGTTCGTCATTGTCGGAGACTGTAGATCCAATAAAGGCTGATGAAATTTTGTGCGCATTTACTTGAAACTATCTCCCGTTTTCACTGAAAATAAATGGCTTTGAAATGAGCACTAAACAATCGACACGTTGATTTTGAACTACTCTTTTGCGCATTTTTAATAAAAGGTTTATAGCCGAGCATTTACACTAGATCAATATAAGTGTCTTGACTTTATACCCTTATTTCGACTGCTTTATAAAAAACACGCTCAATTTCAATATCCTTTCATTATTATTTGAGCCAACTTGTCATGTGGTCTGGTAAGGGCTCTTTTACAGCCCGATACACGTGTTCCGTCCTTACAGACTTGTCAGTTGGGCAGAACCCGTCGTCTCTCAAGCTTTTTATAGTCAGTACTTTCTTACAGAGAGTTATCGAAGACGAACGTTTTACACTCTATGTCGAACGATATTTTCACCTAACACAGAGTGTTTTCTCACTCAATTGCTCTTTGGCTGGTATATATTATCATATTATACTTTTATTTCGAGTGTTTTGTTAATGCCACGCTCAAATCTCAATAAATCCTTTCATTATTATTTGGTCTTAATAAAGCACTCGAAATAAAGGTTTTTTATGATAAAAATACCAGCCAAAAAGGAGTTGAGTGAGAAAACACTCTGTGTTAGGTGAAAATTTCGTTCGACATAGAGTGTAAAACGTTCGTCTTCGATGACTCTATGAAGGCGTAGAGCTCCCGAGAGAACTGACTATAAAAAGCTTGAAAGACGACGGGTTCTGCCCGACTGACGAGTCTGTAAGGACGAAACACGTGTATCGGGCTATAGAAGAGCCTATACCAGACCACATGACGAGTTGGCTTGAATAATGTCTTGACTTTATTTTGAAAGGTACAGTATGGTTGTAGAATGTGAGAGCTAAGAATTTTAGGTTGGGAGTTATCGCATCCAACAAAGATGACGACATGACAAGTGATGTGGGTGTGTCTATGTCACTTCATATTATCGTTGCTGATGTGTGCGTTTGATTTTTCTTCTTCTATTCTTTCGAATAAGTACAGGAGCCGGAGTGGTTAGATGTTTCAAAGGTGTCTTTCATTAATGCACGCAGTGTCGTTGATTTTGACCAACTCAAGCCAAAGTAAGTCTCCGTCTTCCTGGATTGGGTCAATTAGTACGAGTTGCCTCAAGAAAGTGGCTTCTGATCCATAAAGACTGTGAGCGCATATGGTGGAGATCTAGACACAGCCTAGCATATCTGTCTCATGGCTCGTAGATAAATGCACTCGAGCATTACTCAAATTTACTCCCGAATAGGAACAGGTCCTCAACTAGTAATTGAACCTACACCCATGTCCCAAAAACTATATGGATGAGGACTGTCGTACAACCAAGTAATATAGAGAGTGCTCCAATCCTCTCAATATGTGGAGTCGGCCTTATCACAAAATCACCTGTGACATATCATTTCCATCATCTTTTTAGAGCCTGGAAAGGCGCGTTTTGAGTTGACTAAATTTGCAATTATATGTTGCAAAGTTACGTTAAAAAGCATCAAAAGTGCTAAGGGTGAATTGTTCACTACTCATCAAGCCCTGAGAAGTTTCCCATGCACTCAAGTCATTTCGTAGCATTTCAAAGATGACTGCATTCAAATTCAACTTGTGTAACTACCTAAGATAGCCTATCAGTGCGATAACTTAGATTCTTCCTCCTTCCGGAAGGTCTGGTATGACTTTTTTGAGCTGATTGATAGGTTAGCTGCTTGGAGATGTAAGCCACGATTACATTCACACAGCAAGGCTCGTTCAACACTCACAAACGGTTAAACGATGGCATTGTTATTATTATATACCTATTGTGCTTCTATATTTTTATATTAACTTTTATGCATTTGGCTTGAAGTGAAGTACGTCAGGCTTTTGTCCAATCTACTGTGGAGGGGCATCGCTCAACACTTAAAAAATATTCGGGTTTGCAATTATGGTTTTGAATACTGTTTTGATCACAAGGATGCTGATATATGAGCAAATCTCGAATCTCCAAGTGGACTTCAAACGTGCGATCATCCTTTCCAAAAACTCATGTGCTATCCGTAACATCTATCGAAGAGCTTTTCTAACTTTCTCACAACCATACCTGATTTTATCGGTCATATAAACAATCACGTGCCATTGAGTATAACTCAAGGTGCACAAAGCAGCACCGAAATTAAATATGGTGCAAATGCAGAAAAAACCATTATGCTCTAACTTTTTTACTTCACCATTTGAAGACAATCGTAAGGATGCCAAGATATAATTGAGACGTCAATATCGGCAGAAAAGTCATCCTTAATGTTCATTCCAGAAATGACAACGGCCCACTTTTTGAGCGGAGTCGCTATGATGTGTTAGTCGACAAGAGAGCTTTGCCTGGTCAAAAAGTCATCACACTTGGCACATACGATCCTGACCTACCAGTGCCCGGCAGTGGTAGGTATCACAACTCCTACGCATATTTTATGAGCTTCATTTTTCTTCCACTGCAAAAGTTCATATACTTTTGGGATCTTTTCGGTAATCCATGGACAACTAAGTATTCGACCTCATTCGCCCGACAAGAGATTTTTATTCGAGAGTTAGTAATCAATTGAAAACTTTAACATCTGGCTAAGACCCCAGCGGCCGTTTTCTGAATAAGTTTCTTAAAAGTCCCATAGCATCCAGAATAATTTTATGTTTCACATGCACTGCCTGATTTTTTTCAACTTGCTTATGTTTTATTAAATAATTTTTCTTCCTTGACTGCTGGTACTCATTCTATAGCACAATTCTCAAGAATTCAAAATGCGTTTCCTTTTCGAAAAAGCTTTTTTGATAGCACTATAGGAAGAAGAAAATATTTGTGTTTTACATCTTCCCGGATGGAGCTCTCTCTTTAGACTATTACACATATTCGGCGAGCTTGTTTACTGGCTAACCTACGGGCTAGGGCGCGGGTCGATCGATCGGCAGCACGACGCGTTTGCATGTGTGGCTCAACTTGTTATTCAATAAAATTTTTTCTCCGCTCTGAAAAAACCCTAGATAAAAATCTCAAGAGACATGGCGAGGTTTTCTCCACAAGTGTATATACTTGTCGTTTTTCCAGCGAATTATAAGCGTGATAAAATTGGAGGTGTGAAACATAATTTTGTTTTGTGTGCTATGTTTTGCACGCTGTTTTGTATGAGTGTAAAAGGGCCTTTTCGAAAACGAATGACTACTGACACTCCCACGATAAATTCTTGTTCAGCGAATAAGTTCGAATATTCATTCGCTCCCGGATAACCGAAATGAATCAAATTTCAAAGATAAAAATTTGCTATCATTTGTATAATACGAAATCCTTCTAGTCTGACCAACCTCGACATAGTTTCCGTCTGTTTCAATTGTGGGTTGATCTTCGCAGTCACTTTTTATTTTTGAGCATAAAAGCAAATATCACCGAATGATTCGCTTGCTTCTGTTGAATAGGCCATATGGTTGTTGAAAGAGTCTCTTTGCGACTACCCACATACTATCCAAGCATATGAAATGAGATTATTGCCTCAGTCGGGTTTTGAACCCGCGCTTTCTCTTATCCAGGGATGCGTGCCCTACCACTACACCACCGAGGCACATCTGCCCGACCACTCATACTTCGGCATCTCTATGTTAGATATCACCCACCAACCTTTAACAGGTCTGGTCGGGTATGCGATTTCGCTTTATAAACCCACTTAAGCTGACTGCCAATATGATAAGTAATACGCACCCCGAATAGGATGAAACGCGGGTTCGGTTCCCGCCTGAGGCCGTGTTTTTGCTCACTACTCAATTTCTTAGGTATTTATGAAACATCATAGCACTGCGAAAAAGCAGTTTAAAACACCAAAGATTTCGGGTATGAGTAGTGAATAATAATTACTCTCAAATGAGCAGAACTTTTCGATTACGTCGATTAGACGCGAAACTTGCCTCTAGATTTATTGGCGTCTAACAGTAAGAACGAACTAATTCTTCGTTTTTAGTCTAAGTTTATACCACCCTTCGTCTGAACTCAAACTACCCATTGTGATTGATCAGCCTAGATTCCCCCATATAAGGGGCTTCTGCTACAGACTTGAATTTCGTAAATGTGGACCACCCTTGCAGGGGTCTCATGTGTTATGCAATGCACCACCGTCACCTTTTGTTTTTCTCTCAATCGTTTTTCAACCGTATCGGTGCTACTGGCTACTACCTATCAACGGGAGTGATCTGGGGAGTGCATGCCGGTTTTAAACGAAGCTAAGGTGAAGCTGCGGTGATAGCCACAATGTTCAAACTTTTCGCTTACTGCCTATTATTTGTTCTTGAAAGCAGAAGTAAATCATTCAGTGCGTTAGTGATCTATATGGGGTGTACTTCACATCGTGTCCTCCAATTAAGAAAGGTTACCCAATGAAAAAGTCAGAACTCTTAAGCCATTAGGCCTTCATAGAGAATAGAAACAAACTACAATTGACATTCTAGACTTGAATGAGGTGTACTATCGGATCAAAGAGACGTTGTTTGAGTACCACGGTATGAGTCGAGCAATCCACCGTATATTTTCTATATCATCATCCAGTGGAGCTATTCAACTCGATCAAACTGTTAGGTAATGTACATATTATCTCTCAGTGAAAATGCATAATCCGTATGTATAATTTACGGGAAAATTTTCGTGCCATAACGATATTATAAGCTTCATTCTAATACAATTAAGAGCTCTGACGCTTTAGTTCACATTTCTATACCCATGTTTATCAAAATATGAGAATGAAAGTTTGTTTTAAACACTGATTTTTGCACGGCTCGCACTATGGTCTACCGTGTCACAGTGGTGGATAGTGTAACCTACTGGGTACAATAGTAACATACCCTTAGCCGCGGCTCGCCGCGATTAATGAGCATTCCGTAGTGCCAAGTGATTAGTGATGCAGCGCGCGACGAACCGAGGCTGGGGGCGTGTACCTGTCGTACCCAATGGATTAATTTGATGTCAAACCGCGACGTACAACGAGGTCTCTTCCCTCGAATCTGAGGATAGTCTGACACTTCCATTTCAAATTTAGGTGTTAAGACATAGAGTAAAAAAGCTGATAATTTAAAGAGCTGTGAGTGAACTAGGACGAACTATCGGATGCAGCGATGACGCTTGAAGTGCACAAGCTTGCCGGACCTGAGGAATATCAAATATCGACGGCAGCAAGTAGTGGAAGTTCCAAAGACATAATATAGGACACATATACATAAGATACAAAAAAAGAAGCTGCTTCTCGAACGAAATTTGTGGCGGTGAGTTCGAACTCATGTAGTGGCCTGCAAGATTCTTCATGAAGACCAGACTTCCAAGTGCCGTAGTAATGGATATTAGCATCATTTATCAGTACTGGTTTACGAAAATAGAGGCTGCCGTAGCTGAGTGGTTGTGATGCTCGTTGTGGCGTGCGTGAAGCCGAGCTCTGTCCCCAACCCTCTCCGGGAGTCAACATCGACACCAAATGGAACGCCACGGTCAGCTCATTCTCGAGATTGCAAGGAGAAATGGCCCAACCAGCATTCTACAATGTTCAAAAAGAATGCGAAAAAACGAATTGAATATCAGAAGTACTGAAATCCGCACACTGAAGAGGAAACACTGTGAAAACGGATCAATGAAGCGAACCACACTTTCATTAATACTCATTTTTTCTAGAAAAGTGTCTATTAATGAAAGTGTGATGCGAAAAATATAAACGTTTCTATAAAAATCAAATAAGTAAGACGATTTTGTTGGCATACATTTTTTCAATGGAAGCTCAATCACTATGTCTTTAGCGATTTTGTTGGAGGTAGTATTTCATCTACTTGTGGAATCAACAGACAATCCTACAGCTGTCAATGCACATAAAGATCAGTGTATTGTAAAAGTGAGTATATTTTGTTCGGCATAAAATCTATTATTGAGCTTACGTTACTTTTATTTGAGCTTTTACTCTGGAAAAGAATTCACTATTAAATCAAAATATGAGTAAATTAGTGCATGAATTCTCTTAGACAAAATATTTACAAGATTATAACGATTTTATCGTCAAAGCTGATAGAGGTTTTGAGAAACGCAAGACCTACTTGGATGGATGATGGGTTCAAGGTACCAAAGGGATTGTGGAAATATTAAGCCGCTTTTTTTTAGTTTGCATTGATCAACAAGTAGTTTGAATTCAAAGTTATTCATTCATTAACTGCAAAAATTTTCGGTTTCATTATGTTATTTTTTCGGAGCTGAAAGCTTGATTCTCTTGTACAGATGATTTATATATGTATATATATATATATATATATATATATATATCAAGATTTCTTCCAACATGGTTAATTGTTTTTTGTTTCAATTTTCAATGTGCGACGGACGTTTAGTCCAGCTTACGAAGATGACTGAGTTCTATGGCAAACCCAGCAAGGCTTTGAGTCATAACAGCGGTTGTGAGTTAACATGAATACGCTCTCACCTCCAGTCGAGAGTGTATTACTCTTTGTCTTGCGTGAGCGAGTGAATCCCCAAAAGCATAAATTTGGCGCACGACACGAACTGGACAAATGGTAATGATGCGCCGTCAATAGCGTAACTGGGTCGACCCTGAACTGGAACGCCGAACACCATGAAGCGAAGCGAGTAGAACTATTTCTGATATTTGGGTAACACGTGGTGTTTAGGCTCATGCTAAAATATGGAAAGTAGACTATAAATCAAATCCAAGTTGGGAAATAAGAAGATAATAGAGATAAATGTACTGGAATTTATATTGCATGAAGAAAAAGCAATAGAAATAACTTAAAAATGCATTTAAAAAATCTAAAGATAGTTTGCGTAGAAAAGGAGTGATAAAATACAGTGTCAATCACTTCTAAGGTATTCATTACAGCCTTTAATATTTCCTATTACACAGGTATATATACATGAGGAAAGTGACATTGTACGGTTAGAGTTACCAGTTCAACCGTCAGCCATGGATTATGAGAAAATTGATAGCATCAAAGGGTAAGCGCTTTGAAAAAAATTTTTTTGAAAAATTTCATACTTATATGATTCTTCATCCGTTTTAGCACGCAGTTGATCTTCACAAATATAATTCCTCCGTATGTTAGCTTTTTGAAGAGAGGTTCCCACTTTTTTGAACACTTTATTGATCCGTCTTCAATGTCTTTTTTTTCTGAGCGCATGCCATTACATGTAGTTCAACTCTTTCTTTTCGTTCTTCATGTTCTTTCACGTCGTAGTTTATTGATTAAGCGCTTCTCTTTGCAATCTCGAGGAAAATAATCTGGTTGTGGCGTTTCGTAGGTTCCCCATTTGTACCATAGTAAGGAAAATTGAAAACATCATGAATAAGCTTGTTGAATGCGAAAACAAGAATGATTTTTTTGAGCGCCATCGCTTGTATAATAAATTCATTCCCTTCAATGATTGTTCATCGATGGGAATTTGATAGTTTCTAAGGATTACAGCAATGATTTGAATATATATCTAATGATGAAACAACATATATTCTCAAAAGACAGCATAACACAGCAAAAGTTTCAGAACTCTAGCAAATGCAACGGGTCTCAAGGTGATAATGAAGGATTTGCAGTATCATCATGAGGAAGGAAAAACTCTTCTATGACGTTACCGATCTACGACTGGTTTGTATATTTTGACCATTTACACGGTAGTGCCTTCAATAATGGATATGAATGGAAAAGGCCACTAAGAGCATTTTTGTGAAACTTTGGTCATTGCAATTCATTATTCGCTCCTTCAAAGACAAAGCCTTTCCTGCTTTTTCCTCAGATTTTTGGTGGCCTTATAACTTGAATCTCATGATCCAAAAGCTTTGCCAGCTTTGGAAAGTACGCCGAAGCAGTGAGAATAAAATTAAGTTGCACATTCGGCACTCTTCATCGGACGCGTTGTTGTAAATCATTTCGAATTTTCTACTTCATTTTGTAGAAATTTATAGGCTTTTCGAATTATAACTCTATACAAAACTTTGCGTTCTATGATGAGGGTTATTTATTTTCATTTTATAATGCCAAATAATTCCTCTACTAATCCTAAGTCTAGGTAACCTATGCCTTGGAGTGCGAAACGAAACCCTCTTTCGCTTTTCCAGCTCTCTACGAAGACCTTTGCAAAAATCAAACTTAGCTTCAGAATAATCTAATTTAAACTTATTATCCAATAATGTTGAGTGATACGCAAAACTGTGGTCGTCACACGAATTGTCACCCGCATTTCACTCTTTCCGAGAGCACTTGCCAACCATTTGCACTATCGACACTCGTTCTGTCATCACTCGTTATATGTGATACATTTCTAGTGTGACATTCAAGGGTTTTGGGTATCACTCAACTCTAATGGTATATATGTTAAACATCATATCATCGCTAAAAGAGAGGTTAAACAAAAAATTCCTGTTGAATAAATTTTTACTATTAAATAAGTGCTAAAAGTCTGTTGAAAGACCGTTCACAAACCCTAAATGCGTCGGTGCCGTTTATTGCGAATGTTACGAAAATTCTATCCACATTGCCACTCATACACACCAACCGAAAAATTGCACGCCGAGTGCGAAACTCAATTGTATTCTTA